TCTAAAAGTTCACTACATCTTTAAAGTTCACTTTAGTTCTCTACAGTGAAACTCTAAACCAAACCCTCCTTTCCCCTTCTTCCGTCTTCGCTCTGCCATGTCTCACCTGGTCCCGTTTTCGCATGACCCTGCCCTGTTTTCTCTGATCACCATTGGCCACCATTGTTGCTAAGGACAGCTCTAAACAGATGTATCTCAATAATCTTCCTCTAACAGTTTTGGCCAGATGTTACTCAAAGTACACTGGCGTTATTGGAAAGAATTGAAAAAAATTCTTTAGAACATTTCATGGGCTTTATGAAATTCTCAATGTTCTTTATGGATTTGTTAATTTTTTTCACAATATTCTAAAAAATCTGAAAGAGTAGACTTTAATTTTGATATAAAGTGTTCGAGAGTTGGACAGCGTAATTTTTTACAAAAAAATGTTTTGCAAAAAGTAGTTTTTTTTTATTTCGAAGGTAATATGTACAAAAGTTTATTAGATCGGAATAAAACTGTTTATTGTAAGAAAAAACAACAAATAAACATCTTCACACACAAAAAAATAATAATTCGAAAAAGTAGCCTAAATTATGCCCGACAATACAGGCATGCGACCCTACATTCTACCTTTCAGTGATAAATAAATGAAGAAATCAATCAGTTTAGTCATTCCAGAAATTACTCCAGACTGACGGGTACATGTAAAAGCAATAGAAATTTTCATACCACGCAAATTGAATAATAAAATAGTAGTTATTTCAAAATCACAGAGCACTTCAGTTTTATGTAAGATTCATTACCATCACTAATGAAAGCCCAATGTAGGTCCGAAATGTAGGCATTAGACATGTAAATTTTTTTTCATTTAATAATAACCCAACCTCAAGAAATACCCGAATAACCTAACAAGATACCTCTCAACAGGTGCAGATAGAAATCTGACCTGATATATTCTTTTAAAAGTTATTCATTTTTTAAATGTGTTGAGAAAAAATTAGCTGCTGTTGCACACTAAAAGTTACTGAAAAGACAGCGAATTTTGTGTGTATTGGCTGCTCTGTTTTCGCTAACGCTAAGGACAACCCTTGCTGCAGCAAGCAGTCTGACCTCCAATAGTTCAGGCATGCTGTCATTGCTCGCTAGGATCTCTACTTACTGGTTATGACTGTCAGTTCGCTGGGAGGAAAACAGTTCAATTCGGGTCATCGTGTTCCCGTATACTAAATTCGTGGATTTATTGCCTTTATCCGTTAGATAGTTACCTGTTGTAAAATAAATTAGTTAAGAATAAAACCTGAATTGTTAGACAATAAAATATTACATAATTAGAAAGTTAAATATAAAAACTTAATTTTTCCGTATCACTGTTCTCAAACACGTTTTAAGACGTGTTGAAAAGTGTTTATTATCATCATTATTCTCTTAGCATACAGTAGGTGATAAGGTAAGCGCGTACGATAGAAATAACAATACTTCACTTAAACATATTACAATAGTTTCTTATCATCACGTAATCTACATGAAATACATGATTACCAATTTCAACTAATAATTGTTTAATCTGTTTGAGTGCAGATTGGATTAGAAAATACAGAATGCCTATTTTCTGCCTGGCCAGAAAGCCCGGCGCTCCTGCGAACTTTCCCTGACTCTGCTCTCATTTCCTATGCAAACTACAAAGGAGCTAGTTAAAGCGACGTGAGGCGAGAAATAGTGTCTTCATATGAAAATATGTTTGCCAGATTTGTTCTATCAAACAACCAAGCTTTCAATTATGTTTAAAGTTTTTACTAATTACTATTTTATTTTTACTTTCCCGTATACGTACGTATACTCGGAGTATTATACGTAGTATAGGAAAAGTTATGTAATGCTACGGAAAATCGATTTCAAGAATTCAATGAAAATAGTCGTTTTGGGGTCAAATTTGAAGCAGTTTGGCGGTCAATGTGCAACACCTGTCACCGAAAAAATGGTTATTTTCAAAACGTCCGTCTGTCCGTCCGTCTGTGAACACCACTAGCCCCTAAACCATACATAGGATTTTTTTCCAAATTGAAGAAACCCCTGTCTATCTGACTCGAGTCGAAAATTTGAGTTTTGGGAAAACATTCTTCAAAATTTGGGGTACTTTACTGAAGCCCCAAGTTTATTTTCAAAATTTTCTCAAAATTGGCACATTTTTTCTTTTATTTTCTTCAAAGAATGTAGTAAAATACTAATGAAGATGGCATTGGTCAGATTTCACGTTAAACTCTGAATTTTAAAAAAATTCAAAAGATTCCGAGTCTTTTCGA